GCATCTCAGTTAAGCACTGAGGCCTTTTAGAATTTGGCACAATCAGCTTTCTCTAAGTCTTTTCAGAACGTTAAGTTGTTGACGATAAAGACAAGGCAACAACAAAAATTCACTTCTCTAACTTGGCCTTTTTTTCTAGCTTCATCCCCCTAGATAATTTGCATCTTTATTGTGCTGTTTCACTTTTGAGATATTCCTGGTCAATATTTTATAGTTAAACACCCTATTAGACCTTTTTTAGCTTAATGTCCCTTATCAAATTTAACCTACATTCTATCATTTTTATCCTTTTACATAAACCTACAAACGTGCAATGTATCCAAACATTTTTTAGCATGCCCGTGCTCATGGCGATAAAGCAGCCCTTTTTTATAGTTTTGAGGAAGTCCTAGCCGCCTATCATGATCCTGTTGAAACCCAGAGCCCGGAATGTCCACCTAATAAACTTGCTGAGTATATAGGTTTTGGATTCAATAAGCGAACGATGAAGCGAGCCGTTAACAGGGACAAGAATCTTGTGGACCTAGCGGAGAGATGCGTTAAGCCTGGATACTATGCCCGAAACCTCGCCAATTGGCTTAAATATTACCCTAGCAACCAGGTAAGCCTCTATCCAGTCTCTCATTATGTTCATAAACAGGCTTTTATTTGTTTATTATCTCGTATTTTCTTGTTCTTTTAATCTCTTTTGTGCTCCCCCATACCCTCAATTTCCTTTAGATTCTACTCGTTGACGGTGATGAGCTGCGCCTTAATCCCATTCCTTTGATGCAGAAAGTTCAGATCTTTGCTGGCTTCGAAAACTCTGTCAATTATTCTTCATTGATTTTGTACGTCTTTACGATTTTATGAAGCCTAAACTTTAGTTAGGACGATAGACTGAAATAAGTAATAATCTTTGTGACATTCTGCTGATCCCTACGACAGTCTGACCTATTTCACCTTTAAAGTTATACCCATCCTCTAGCTTGATGGCTTTAGGGCTGTTTAGCCTGATGCTAGCATCTCTACTTCTGGATTAACATTCCCTAGCTTATAATTTTGCTGGTACTTATATGAGTGGTACCGTAGGGCCTATCCCGAGAAAGGTAGCTAAGATAGAAGATGAAAGAATGTGGCGTAGATGTTACAAATGAATCAGAGGATAAGCATAACTAACTAGGTTGAATAAACGGGGTCGTGATGTAGCGTAGGTCTGCACGTGTGGTGATTATGGATGTTGACAAGCAGGAAACGATGACTGATAAAACATTCAACAGCTTTCTGGGTTTGCATTGTCACATTGAAGAGATGTCATAATGAGATGCTGTGAAGACGCGGCTCCTCAAAAAAGTTATTGCTTCTGAGGAGCAATAGTAGTCCCATAAACCCAGACTCAGCAAGTACGGTAATTGGAGGTTTGGCTTTGCACATAGATGAATTTTAATGACTTTGGTATATTGCAAATACAGATTCGACAGAGAAAAGAATCGATCTACACTAAAGTGACAAACGCTAGTGATGCATAAATCTATGATAAATACTGGATCAGACTATAACCTTAGTGGTCTTTAGGATGCAGGACATTCCACTTGCGATTTATCGGGCACGAGGTTGATGTAGAAAAACTGAATGGGGCACGACAGCATGATCATCCAGCACACAGGAAGAGCTGTCGTTGCGAAGTGACTTCAAGACTAGATTCAAGGCCCAGTAAAAATAAATTGGCCAAGTCAAATCCTTTCTTATCTTAGCCGATTAGAACAATCTGATCCTTCATCGTTGGGGCCAATAACCTATATATATATATATAACTGCAACACATTTTTTATCAAGGGGGATTTATTATCTCCTAACTACCATTTTAATCCTATTGGTGGGATTGGAAACGAAGTTATAAAGCAATTGGCATTTCTTTACTCCCTGTACATGATCCTTTTTTAAATTGCCAATAAATTATTTATGGAATTAATAAATTAATAGTAGTTAATTGACAAAACCTCTTTGGTAAGACGAATTTATTTTATTTATCCACATAGTTATGTGTTAAATTTGGAGTCAACTCCGTAATTTTAATGTCAATTTACATTAAATTAAAAACTACGTACAAATTTCCGTTTTATATTACTCACTTAACTGCAAATTTGACAAATAAATATGAATTCTTTATTTAAATCAGCCAAGTCTCGAATATTTCCCTTAGTTGTTACAACTAAATCGAAGTGTTTTATTAAACCCTTATCGCTCACACTAAGTCCTAGTGACACCACCTTTTCATTTTTTGGATAGATTACATACATTCGGAGTCCTATTGTATTGTTATTTCCCCTTTTTTTTACTTTGTTGTTCTGTGTTCAAATCACTATTTAGCAATGCAAAGTTAGAGCTTTTGCGCAGAATCTACCTCTTCAGTACTTTTTGACTTAAGCCACCTTGTCTGTTTTAACTTTTAATGTATTCTTGTCTTGATATGTATCTAAATTAATATTTTTTTCTCATCTTGATCATAACTTTTTTCAGAACTCTATTATGCAAGAGCATAGGACTTATGCCCTTGTTTTTATTAAGTTAAACATTTGCGGATTTGCACACGAGAGACTAGGCCTTATAAAGTCATAGACTTGTCACTATGGATAGAAGCACGATAGTTGACTAACAGTAGAAATAGTTGATCATAGACGTGATCTATGATATGAAGCCTTGACCATGAGAATTTCTAGGGCTCATTAGTCTCAAGTTATTCTCCCATCCAGCTTGAGAATCCTGATTTGTAGTGGCCTATTCAGCGAAGAGGGAATCTGCGTGCCATTAAAGGCTTGAGACAGTATGGAGGATAATGCTTTGAGTAGTATAGATAGGGTGGCAGGCATCAAGTAAAATACCTAACCAGGAAAGTAGGAGTCGGATCCTACGAGCAAGAGGGAAACTTTGATAAGATCTATGGGAAGATAATTGCGGGGTGAGAGGGTGAGAAAGCCAGTGTGGTGTGTGTAGAGTTCTCATGAAATCCGTTAAAAAAGGCACATCATGCCACATAAGAAATTGTGATAGTGAAGGGGTGATATGAGGAAATATGATTGGTGAGTAGTCCAGAGCAGGAGGGATACCACAATTGCTTAGCAGACAACTAGTCAAATGATCGGATTCACTTGTCTCTGACGATTTTTTGTGTGGGGCTAAGAATAGCAAAGCTCACTGACGATGCCGGCGACACGTCTAGGAATGTACCGAGTCCACGGTCCAACTCTGGAAATTATCATGCTTACAATGTGCTCTAGGTCTTCCTACCAATATGACCAGGTTGCGAAAATAAGGTCAAACGCCCTCTATACAACGAAAGGGGACTGCGATCATACAGAAGCTACACCATCTTGGTACACATACCTTCAATGTTTGAGTTTTCATTTTATTAAAGGATATACTTTGTACTATTACCCTTAAATGTAAAATAATGCATACCATGAGGTACCCTTTAAAGCAGTATTTTTGTTCCTTAGGGCAAATCTGACCTATCGATAGTATAAAGCCCAGGTATAGTTTACATCTTTAGCATAATTTCAAAGGAATGTTGTTGACTTATCCGTTAGTTTCTGGGTCCTGGTGTAACTTTCTACATTTTCAAAAGATTGCTACTCATACCTTCTTCCTAGATGGAAATGTAGATTCAAATCTAAAATGAAGTAAAGTATTTCCTTATAGTGAGCCAACAATTTCTAAATATCGACAGCTCTAAAAGATTTCATGCATTAAATCATTACTTCTTACTTCGTTTGTTTAAGAATGCATTTATTATATCTCTTTCATCTTGTTCTCTTTGTTTGCGACAATTCTCTTGTAGCTACGATTCACAAAAAGGCTTTTTCTGCGCATCCAACGAACTAAATCTCATTCCGGGCTCTGGTTGGCGCTCTTGTCTTGGTGGCAGCAAGGGCCGCGACTACATCCATCTTGACACTGCAATTTATGTGCCCAAACTCTCATGGCTTTATTATTGTCAAGACATTCTGGCCTTGGTCCACCTACTCAATACCACTCGTTTTTACGCTACTGATGCTGATTCTCCCTGGCCAACATGGTTACAGAAACTAATTTACAAGCCCGTCCAGGGATCTACATCAGTCCCAACATGTTGTCCTAAAAATCACCTCTGCTTGTTAACCCTTTCTCCTTTGTTTACTTTTGCTTCAGTCATCTTTTTTTATCTCTATCGCATTTATGTATATTTGCCTTATTTTGACATTTAATCAAACTTAT